AATCAAAATATTTCTGTCACCCTTTCCTATAATATGAGAAAGAGAGAGAGAGACAACAAGAGAGAGAATTAGTTTCTTGATTATTTAGCACATTTCACACATAGTAAAAGCCACTTTTGCATATGCTATTTTCATAGGTGTGACAGAATAGGGATAAGTGTCTCCAGAACGTCTGGACATGACATTGTTAGGTTTTATTTATTTATACATAATATACTTCTACTTCTTTGTACAGTGGTGCCTCGCTTAGCGATTGCTTCGTTTAACGATGTATTCGCTTTGCGATGGGTTTCTTTGAGGAAATTTCCCCATCGTTTAACAATGTTCTCTATGGGGGAATTTCACTTAACGATGTCCGTTTTTGCTCATTTAAAAGTGTCTTAAAATGTTTGAAACCTGTTTTAAATGCTTGGATTCGGTAGTGCACCTTCTGAAACATGTGCAAACTTAATTTGGTTTTGTTCTGAGTCTTCGTTAATTTTTGGTGATTTTTTGTTTTCCCCATTTAAATCCATTGAACGGATTTGATCCAATTTGATCTAAAAAGGGAGGTTACACGTCTCTAATGGCATGTAAAACCATACTGGCAATCAGACATTTCCTCTCCTAATAAATAAATAAAATAAATATATGCATAACATTCAGAAGACAGTTGTTGATCAAGCTTTGATTGATTGATTGATTGATTGATTGATTGATTGATTGATTGAAACTCTTGCAGTAGAACCACATTAAGATCTGTGGTGCTTACAAAATTGACTGGTGCCATGATACCAGGGGATCTGTTGTCTGATATGCATAATAATCTCAGAAGGAGCCATTGAAACATAGAAGGTTATGGATGTATTTTGCAGTCACTTATCTTTGTATAATTTGCTAAATTACAGTGTTATTATATACAGGCTATTAGTGCTTCTATTATGTGGTTATAAGAGGGGACATGATCTGAGTAGTGCCATGCCAATGAGATATCATGTGTGCATGAAAACCATTAAGAAACAAATAGCCTTTGTAATTATCTTCTTTGTGCTGTTAAAGACAAATTTAAACAAACGTCTGTTTCCTTCTTCCATTATCTGTTTGGTAACTTTCATTCACTCTTTAAGGGATGAATTCAGACATCATGGCGAGAAGGAATTCTCTCCAATTCTGGCTCACTGAGGATATGCCATCTTGTTGATTCACACTGAGGAACAATTCCCATATGGAATGAGAAAGGCAGAACAAGCCAAAGTGGCATTATTATTGTGAACTCACTGGATGCCAATTTTTTGTCCTGTCTCTCTCAACCAATCAGATAAATAATCCAGGTGTTGTTTTAGGGTTAATTACAGTAGGATCCCTGTATCTGCTGGAGCATTGTCTGTGGTTTAAGTTATCCACAGTCTAAAAATTTCAAAATTTTAAAAGAAAAAAATTCAGAAAAAAACACTATGTTCACATGTACCAGAATTGGCCACTGGAAAGAGCCAGAGACTGTGCTATGAATGCTTGTTAGTGAAGACTACATTGCATGATGAAGACTACATTGCAACCCAGATAGTGTGGTTGCTGACCTTGAGCCAGACATCCTGGAGAGTGAAGTCAAGTGGGCCTTAGAAAACATGGCTAACAACAAGGCCAGTGGAGGTGATGGCATTCCAGTTGAACTATTTAAAATCATAAAAGATGACGCTGTTAAGGTGCTACACTCGCTATGCCAGCAAGTTTGGAAAACTCAGCAGTGGCCAGAGGATTGGAAAAGATCAGTCTACGTCCCAATCCCAAGGAGGCAGTGGAAGGCAGGAGGGCCTGGCATGCTCTGGTCCATGAGGTCATGAAGAGTCAGACACGACTTAACGACTAAATAACAACAACACTGCACAGTCTCTGGTGCCCTCTTCTGGCCAGTTCTAGTAATGCATGTGAAAATGTTTTTTCTGGTTATTGTTTTTTCCTTTTACTCATGCTACATATATAGTGTTTACTATTATCAGAGGTTTTCAGTATCCATGAGTAGGGGCTTGGAACGATTCCCCTGCAGATATGGGGGCCCTACTGTATCTAGATTGTGGGGAGGGAAACAAGCCACAGACCTAGCTTCCTGTTTTTACTTCACAATAAACAAGTTGTGGATAGAAGATCTATCACTGGTTTAGCGACTTCCATTGAAAAGGGGAACAATCAAGCAGTCTTTACCAGCATGCTGCTTATCTGTGATAAACCCAGGTTTCTGTGGCTCCCTGGCTTATTATGACGAGCAATTAGGCCTCAGATTGGAGTTACAACTGCTATTCAACTGTTGTGAACTTTGGCTGATAATGTATTTATTATTATAAATTAATAATTATTATAAAACTAAAAATGCATTTTATATAAAAATATACATTATTTAGTCTACACCAAAAATTCAAAGGCCCTTATTTAACCAGAATGGTCAGTTGTAATGTTGCTGTAACCATCTGTCTCTGTAAGTACCTGAATCAGCATAGATCTGATCCATTCACACAAACCAGATCTCCAAGTGTTCAAACACCCATAAAAAGATTTCACTTCTTCCTGAAGGCTGTCAATACTGTGAAAAGGAAGAGCTTTTGTTGCTTTTACTGATGACACTTACTCAACACATGTACCCAGGTTAATGCATGAATTAGAATATGACAGGGGAAAAGGCACCAAAGCAATGATTTAAGTCCTGATTTGGCATTTGCAAAGTAACACAAGATCCTGCAATGCAAATATTTACAGGAGCACATAAAGACCTAAGCAAAATATCTGTTTAATGTCAAGCAGAAGCAAGTCATTTATAGACAACAGTTTTCATTGGGGACCAGCAATGCTGGATAAAGAAAAATGCATTTGTTTCATTTTGAACATCTTTAACAGGATACAGGGTGGCAAGCATAAAGTTTAGTGGCCTTCAAGACAAGAGGATTTGTGCTGATAATTTTGGAGTTTTCTTTGCAACCTTGTCTGTGGCTTGTGTGACTGGGAGGGATATTTTTTTTGCTAGGGTGATTGCCTGTCTATCCAGCACTGACCAATCATTCCTTCCAGCTAGACATGGGCTATTCATATTCATATCCCTGGGGATACGAACATGAATTATGGTACCACAGGTGCCATGCAGGTGCATTCTCTTCTCCCAGAACAGGCGAGTCCACTTACTGTTTGCTGCGCAGCTCTTGGCTCCATTCTTGTGGTGGTTGTGCCAACTGCAAGAGTTTTGCTGGCTGTTCTGTTGCTCTTTGCAACAGAAAGAGCAGCCGACCACTTCGGTGCAGAGGCAGGATGGGGAGTCTCCCTGATTAGCTGATGAGTGGTCGGCTGTGCAGGTAGGTGTGGAAGAGATGGCTGTGCTCTTTCCGTGATTGGCATGACCATTGTGATGATGGAGCTGAGTGCCACACAGCAAACGGTGAGTGGACTGGTTGGTTCTGGAGGGAGGAAATGGGTCTCTGTGGCACTTGTGGTGCCATGATTCATATTCGCATCCACAGGGATACGAGTACAAATAGCCCATGTCTACTTTCAGTCTTTGAATTCAAAGAAAGTTACGCCTCTCTGTTAAGTGCTCTTTTCCCCTTTCCTGGGTTAGTGGCAGTTGTTCGTTTGCTATTGATCTGTTCAGTTGGTTGTAAATGTATATAAAGAAAGCAGCATAGACAAGTGTGTAAATTCAAGCGCCTATACATAAAGAAATGTTTTTTATTCTTTCTCCTTCAAGTGAATGAGTTGGGACTTTAAGTGCCAGTTAATGAGAAAGGGGTGGACTCTGCGGAACTTGAAGCTATTCATCATTGTGGATCTCTACTTCTACTGTGTAGCAAAAAGAATTTTACCTGAAATTCAAAACCCTGCAACAAATAAAGGTTTAGAAAAGCAAGAAGTAAATTGGCTGCCCCAGTGCTAAATCCAGAGCCGAGGAAAATTACTCACTTGAACTATAGCTGTTAGAAGCTCCCAGCTGCCCATGCTGACTGGGTTGTTCTTGGAGTTGTAGATAAAATGTAAACTAACCCATATAAAACTTTGTGTATTTGAGGTTTCTATAGTACAATCCTGCAATTCAGAGACAAACCCATTTCCTTACCTCAGTTATCCCCATTCTGTCTATAAAATAAACATATACACAAGCTCAGTAGTATGAAATACTACTATTTCCTTTTCTAAGTTAGCATGTCAGCTCACCGGGTATCCCTGCAAAATACAGCAGTTGGAAATCCGAGGTGAAATCTTTAAATTTAACATAAGAACTGTATTCCTGAATGCCTTGACATGATTAATTCATACTGAATCAGTCTAGAATCCAGGTACTCCTGACTGACAACTGGTGCTTTAAATGCTACCTCAAATGTTGTTTCTCTAACACCTGGAGCAAAGCTTTGTGCATTCAGTACAAAAGACAAAAAGAATAATTCTAGACAAAGATTCTGTGTCAAGGATAGGTGTACTCTGAAACCTGAGAGAATATACACAATGTTCATTTTGCATAATCATGGGAAAGATGAAGGAATAAACAAGATACAGAAAATCTGTGGCCCTGATAATCAGAAAACTTACCCATTTATGCCTGCGACATTTCACTATTAACTATTTTCAAGCCTATATTCAGAACTATAAGGATAACAAGTTTGGGTTCATTACTTCAAGAGAAAACTGTGATTTTGGACATTAATATCAGTGTGAGTGTGTTTATCCTAGCTTCCCTAGGAATATATGCAACCCTGGGAAGAAATACTATGTAGGTCATATAAGGAAACCAAACTTTATAACTTTATGGAAGTTATAAATAGCCTAGATCAGGGACTGGGAAATTTGGTGGTCCTTATATACTGGCCTACAATTCGCCCTAATCCTAGCCAGTATGGTCAATTGTAAGGAATGGGTGAAACTGTTGTCCCAAACATTTGGAGGATCAAAGGCTCCCCACTTCTATTATAGACCTAGAGTCAAGTCAAAAGCAACTGTCAGCACAAAATTACCCAATAAACATGTTTAAAATCAACCAAGAAGCTTACAGGAGCTGCATTATTCTTCACTGTCACACTGGGGGTTGTAGCACGCAGGGCTCCACTAACTCCATGGTAGTACTTGAAGCAGATTTTTGTTTCTCCTAAAAGAAAAGGTGATACTGGATTAACAATATGTAGCTTTTCATCACCATCTGTTGAATAAAAGCAAACATAACACAAAAAAATATCATTCTGAGACCATATTGCCTTTCCTTGCAATAAACAAGAGAGATGTAATAACAATGCCTTAATTTAAATAAAGCCTATTTCATTAAAACCCACTGCAAATTGTCATAATTTTGGTTGCTCAAAAAAAATCTGTCCCTTTACATCAGTAGAATTTAAAGATGGCTTTGTTTCTAGTAAGCTCTGCCACTTAGAATCCTTAGATGTGAGGGTACCTACTGAACTTCAGCCAACACAATTTCAGGCACAAATTGCACCCCAACCCACCCAATAAGCTACCCCTTGTGATTGGGTTCGTTTGAATGTTGTAGCAGTTCCTCACTTTTAGTGGGAAATAGCAACATTCATAACTTCAATTTTATTAACCTTTGGCTTCTCTACAACTATTTCAACTGGGTTGAAACATGATAAATTTGGCAAAGGTCCATAACTGGATGAGGATAATTCTCTGAAAGTCCAGGTAGCTCATTGGGGTGCTGGGCCAAAGCGTTTGCGATCGGTGGGGTTCCGTAGAGGGGCACTCCTCACCGCACAAATGGTGGCGCAGCATGGATGTCTTGCCCAGCCTCACTCCTTAGGTAATAAAGTCAACCCTTCCAAATTTGCTCCACAGCATTGAGGGGATAGGAAAACTTCAATTTCTTTTTTTTTTAAATAATATTTTATTTAGATTTTTTTCCTTACATACAAAAAAAAAACCACATCTCTACAAACCCTACACACAAAAAAACAAACAAACAGAGACAGTACACCTAAATCAAAAATACAAACAGACAAACCCCCACATATATAGGCAGGGGGGAAGCATTTCCATACAATGTTATCCATTATTTAAAAAAAAAAACTTGACTGCACCAACCTTCTTACTTTATAAGAATTCCAAAATATTATTCGTCCTAAAATTGTACTAATTCTAATAATTATTTCTCTTACATCCTTGGCTACCAATTATTTCTTAGAATATCAATACTACCATCATGTAAAACTCCACATTTCAGCAATAAACATCATCATTAGAGAAACAAAAGCAAAGCAAAACCACATAAAACAAATCTAACATTGGCTACGTAATCATGTTATACTTCATATGTGTTTAGTATCTTTATATAAAGGCGTTAATTATCCTCCTACACTATATTACGTTCCATTTTTAATCTATGCACATATAAAGTTCTATATCAAAATTTCACATGATACCAATATTTCAGAGAATAGGTATGTTATGTATCTCTCACATTATAGATTGATTGTGTTACAATGATATCCCAATTTCATATTCCATCAAAATTAAACATTAGTTCCCTTTTTTCCAGTTTTAAAATGCCACCTATAAAAACCTATTAGGCTATTTTCTCTCTGATTTGAAATTTCCCCAATTTTCATGTCCATTTGGAGCCAAGGAATGTCTAATTTGTAATCATGTTTCAACTCTTCCTTCTCGCTTCTTCGATCTGCATAAACA